AAATTTATGAAAGACGGACCGCAGTCTGCGTTTTATATTAAATTTCAATGAACGTTAAATTAAATTCTGATTGAAGAAACTTAAGTGACGTGACAGCGGCATGTCGAAGATTTAAATGCAACTTTGTCCTACTAACGATAACACCGTCTCATGTTCAAAGTGCCTCTGTTGTTGTCAATTGTACATTTTTACGCGTTTTAAGGGTATCTACTCTCGTTTACGTCCGAAATCCTTCAATTACTGTCAAATAAGTAATATTGAATCAAATTAAAAAACAATGTCAAGTATGAAGCTTCATTCGTATCGTGCGTCTCTTAATTAGGTCGAGTTTTACTTATTTAATAGTAAATAATTGTTCCGGACGGATGTCAGACAGAGAACGAGAATACAAGGCCAGGTAAAACCGGTTCTCACAGCTCAAAGTATATTGAGAGAGAAAAACGCCTTGAATTGGAGAAATAGCAAAATCAACCATTAAAATAATTGCTCCTGAATTAAAGTTAGGCGCTATTTATAAAAATGAATCTTCATGCGTGAACAGCCGCCCTTAAAGGTGGATGATTTTCTTCAAAATGAAATGGGACCACTATGGAAGTACCCCCTTTCCAACAAAAAAGAATCATGAAAATCGGTTGACAAATACCGGAGTTATCGCGTAACATACATAAAAAAACATGCACTCGAATTGAGAACCTCCTCCTTTTTTCAAGTCGGTTAAAAAGACAATGGACGTTTTTTGGAACAGACGAGTCGTCAGCTGTACAGCACCGCTTGCCACTCTCAGGGCATAGTATTCATTAAGTGTTACAGTAGATTGTTGAGGAACTTCTTGTAAAAGCGGTGCCAGTGTATATTTATATAACTATATGTGATAGTATTTTTCATAAAAAAGTGATTCGAGGGAAAAACACTTGTTCTTGGCTGTCGTCTAAAAGTCACAAATTTATTTTACGGGGTCACATTACACGCTTCAACAATAAGATTTCTGTTGATATTAAAAATACGACGTTTAGAACTATCAGGTATCAAGAAATTTATTCTATAGTATATTGTGTATTAAGGGACAAGAAATTACCAACTAGAGTATTTTAATAAGCAATAAAGACTCTTTAAAGAAGTTTGAAGAAGTTTGTAATTTTGTACCGCCGTGCTATACACATACATGTATTCGTCACATTTGCGAGGATATACATACAATGATGAGCCGGTTGGGGGGCCGGTCAGGGGTTTGTGACCCACCCCCTAACCCACCCCCTAACCCACGCCCTAATTCATCATTGTTAATCAAAAACATTGAAAAGATTGAAAATTGATTAATTGTTAATTGTAGATATACGCGATTAACGATTGATCAATTGCTATTTGCGAGAACCGCAATTAACAAATAATTGTTAATTGCGGTTCTTGCAAGTAACAATTGATCAATCGTTAATTGCTGTTTCGCAATTGACAATTAATTTATTGTCAATCTTTAATTGCCAGAACAATTAAATTTTGCCCAACACTGAGTGCAACTAGGAAATGAAACTATTTTTCCGGATTTAAATCGCGTATATTTGTTAGAACTCTGTTGTAGAACTTGATATACAGTGCAACTAATTTAAAAAAGTCCGTTACCGCCCGAGGGCGTAATGAAAAAGCCACGGCGTAATTTAGGACATTATGGCCGACATTGCCTGCATGTCATGACACTGTTTACGAGCTTTGATGAAAAAGGTTATTACACAGATATTTGCGTGCTTGGGATGACAAAAATCCATGAACATAATCCGTTTAGCTCTTTCAGATTGCTTCCTCAAGTAGGATGTTTTGAAATAAATATTATAAATAGTAAGCCAGATACAGTTGGTACTGGTGTAATTAGAAGCGCATGGGTCTAGTCAGAGTGACGGGCGCAGTGGCAGTGTCAGGTCTTTGAGATTTAACAGCTCTGCATGCACTGAAACTGTATGAGTAGGCGTATTACTTATCACCAGGCGCACTACTTGTTCGTCCTGTCCATCGAGTATATAACCAGAAATAGAGACGAAATAAGGGCCATCCATCCCTGGCAAGTCATCAGGTAAATGGGCCTTATATCACTTTTAAATATCAACTCTCGTTTGCGCTGAAATCACAAATTAGAAAGCTGAAATAGTACAGCGCCAACAACTGACCTGTGTGTACGTCTCCGTATATTCCAAAAATATTCTGTATTTATTGTAATAAATATAATATCTCTAACTATGGGGGGCTGTTCCATTCAGAGGTGTGGGAAAAATAGCAAAACATCTAATTACTAAACAAACAATCACATTTCAGCGATAATTAAACATGTAATTTAGATAGAGAGACGCAGAATAGTTTTCAAACAAATTAAATGACATTTCGTTTCTATTATACACTCGATGGTCCTGTCACTCGGTATCATAAAAATATCTATACACGAAGAGCAAACGTCTAGAGTCCGCCTTACGAATGGTAGCAATGTTTAAACAGTTGGACAATTTTAAGCATAATTTGTGTATAGTATCTGTGGAATAATAATATCTATACATCGAATTTGAATTACGAATTGGGATTTGCTGTAAAATATGTTGCAAGACTCTCTGTAATGAAGCACTAAGATTATTTTATTTATTTATTCAAGAAACCAATAGTCCGTATAAAACAATTGGTGCAATAACGAAAATGTTATAAGGTACACCTTGACTTGCCTTAATTTATAACGCAGTTCAAATCTTTAACCAAACCGCCTCAGCTCCGAATAACAGAGCTAAATGCGGACCGGCTAGAGGATCATCGAAACGGGGTATTAGACCAATAAGGCTTTAATTTTGTGTTTAAATTTTGACAACGAAATAACGAATAAAATATTCACATCCATGAACCTACTGTTATGTTATATACCTGTATATAACATTCTTCAGCAAGATGGGGCTCCGGCTCATAATAGTCGGAGAACAGCGGACTTTCTTAATGAACATTTTTCTTCCTGGATCGGTACTCATGGACAAATTAAATGGCCTCCGAGATCCCCAAATCTAAACCCGTTAGATTTTTTTTTAATGGGGATATGTAAAAGATTTAGTTTACAGGAACCGGTATGAGAGTGTGCAGGAGTTACAAACTGAACTTGACGTATTATTTTAAACATTCACCATGAAAAGATAAATAAATCAACAGGAAGCGAAATTATGAAAAGAGTGAGAATTTGTATACTACACAATGGGGGACATTTTGAACATTTGATAACTTAAATTGATTGATTGTAAGTTGCAATTAAATGTACCTAATTATTTTAATTAAATGTCGATTTCATGGTCTTCCTTTTATTTAACATGTTATGTTATTTAGAAGAAAACAATCCTTATGATTGAGTCTTTCCATCAGTATAATAAAATTACAGGTTTTTTTCACATTTTGCGGGTTCGATTCCCGGTTCAGAGAAGCGATTATTTAAAAATCTTCTAATGCAGTTCGAATTGTTTTTACAATCAAAATGAAGTCTTCTTTCAGTAAAATGTCCTATTAATATATTTAAGGTACTTTCCCTCCATGTGGCATAGCCGTGGGACACCCTGTATATCTGACATGACCGCCTAATAAAGCTATTGCCAACGAAACATTTTCATGACTTCTTACAGTCGACTGTACCTCAGCTCCAATTAAACTGTTTCCCGTACTAATACGGTTCATTTTGCTTAGGTAGAGCGGCAGGGCTTTATTTCGGAATGATTTTTTTTTACAAACAAAATTACAGCCATTTGAAAAATGTATATCGCATAGTATAAGTGTTCTATGTAGTTCAGTTGATATAAAAAAAAATCATTGGTATATGGTATGGCTAGGTAAGTTTGAGTTTTTTTTCTATTGTGAATATTGTTGGGAATCGTGTATTCACACCGTATAGTAGTCAGTGTATCCTCAATTTTACTATATATTTTTGCCAAAGCGATTGATTTTACACTCACTGTTACGCTGAATGAACCAAAACCATTTGAGGTTGTATAGACTCTTAATTGGGAAAATGTTTATAGTCACGACTACTCCTAATGTTGACTATGTAAATAGGATATTAGATATTATAATAATAATATGATAATTATGCCACATAACCACACCATGGTCTCATGGAATTCCCTGTACAATGGATTTGCATCCAGAACCAAATAGAATACCACAAATTGGTCCTGCCTGGGTACCTCATCCATAATGCAAATCACCGGGCCACCGATATCGTCAATCTTCAAGATGAGAGCGAAATTATTACATTTTGAACAGGCTCATGTAGAAGCGAGTAGGATCAATTCAAATTCTGCTTACGACGTGGAGATGCAGTAAACATACGTATGGCGGTCTAGGACATCAAAGAAGGCCTTGAGATCGTATTCACATCTCGCGAATTCCACGAACATATACTCGTAGCTATGGCGTTATTAATAAACCTTGTGCGGCGTCGTCTTCCGATGGACTGCCAAACGTACCTATTTAGAAGAAATTCTCTCGAGATTTTTCAATTGTTTTTCACGTTCCTTTGTTACCGTTTTGTAGTTTCCTAATATTGTTTCTAACGTGATTTGTGACATGGTGGGAACGCGACTAATGCCCTTATAGTTGCTGTAAGTGATTTACTAATTGCACGCGTTGTGTCGTCTTCTTTCTATGTAGATTTGCACGCTTTCTATGTACCTACTAATTTGCTGTCTCTAGCTTTTATTGTTATTATGATTAAAATTTTCTTAAAACTTACTTATTGAATATAATGATTTTTTGCTACCATGATATATCTTTTTTGTGAAAACACTACACTAGTTTGTTATAAATTTATAATGATATTAAGGTCGAATATAAAGACAAAATTCCTTCGATCTGATTGTACTCGAACCAATTTAATTTTTCTTCTGTTCTTTTATTATAGTTACGTAGTTTCTCTTCTGTTGTACCTGACGCAATTAATCTATTCAAAAAGAAGAAACTCTCGTCGTTGTAAACATAAATCGATCAAAAACTCTTTCCAGGGACATTAAAGACGTGGTAATGCGTTACCGGCACTCAGACTATCTTCTGGAGGACGGTGGTGATGGCGCCGAAGCTGACCTTCTCGGGACCACACCTCCCCGGCAGAGGCAGAGAGAGAATTTACAAAAAATTAGAAATAAGTAAGTCGTTAATTCATTATCAACAGTTCAATCGGCAAGAAGAGAATCTTTGAGCTGATAGAATTAGATCTTCAGCGACGGAGTCGGATGGCTTTTCGTGTGACGGCGGCGAACGGCGGTGTGGCATGTACGGCATTGCATATATTTTTAAATTGTGTAAAAAACACCTAATTGTATAAATCAACCTTTGTATTTATTTTCAACATGATTTAGTAGGTTATAACTAATGTTACCAAAAATAATCAACTTAAAAAAGTTTGTAAAAAGCAATCGCGTAACAATAAGTGTTCTTAAAAATTTTTTTTTTATTAATAATAATAATAATAACGCACACACTCAACATAGCCCCGCACTAGGGAAACCCTGTGTCGCGGGTGCCATGGACACACACATAGACAACCACACACATAAACAAATTACACCCAAACTCACGAGAGAAATAAATGTAGGCCATACACATATTTCTCCCGGCCTGGGAATCGAACCCAGGACCTCTGCTTGGCAGTCCGGCATGGTAACCGTTCGGCCACAGAGGCAGTCCAAAAACTAAGAGCGCTTTTGTCCTCCATCTTACCTGTTGGAAAGTGACGACCCACGTAAATAATGCCTGTTCTTATCTTTTTTTAACCGACTTCAGAAAAAGAGGAGGTTCTCAATTCGACTGTATGTTCTTTTTTTTCTTTTTTTTTATGTATGTTACGCGATAACTCCGGTATTTGTGAACCGATTTTCATGATTATTTTTTTTGTTGGAAAGGGGGTACTTCCATAGTGGTCCCATTTCATTTTGAAGAAAATCATCCACCTTTAAGGGTGGCTGTTCACGCATGGAGATTCATTATTATAAATAGCGCCTAACTTTAATTTAGGAGCAATTATTTTAATGGTTGATTATGCTATTTCTCCAATTCAAGGCGTTTTTCTCTCAATATACTTTGAGTAGTGATTTTTATTATCTCCAGTGTAAAGTTCTGTAAAGTGGCGAACTAGGGGATAATTCAATAAAACTTAGCAAATAGACGTAATTTCACGTACTTTTGAGGCCGGTTTTTTTAGTACTCTGTACTGAGATTATATCTCTAGATATACAAAACGAATATCACTAATCGCATTTTCTCGGATTCGGATGCAGCGTGCGAACGCGCTAAGTTTGAAGAGCGTTTATTTGTATGTTTATTTTTATGTACAAGTGATTATGTTATAGTCAGGCAGTATCAAAAGCTACGCATATAATTAAAAAAAGAATTACATCTTAGTTTTCTAAATAGGCGGTTCATAGATTACGTTTTACCATTATATAAGATATATTTAACTGAGCACTGTAGGTCATTTATTCTCTATTGGAAACAAGGTGAACTCCTCATAACAGAAAGGACCTTTCAATTAGGTTAGTTTTTGCCCCGCTTTCATTTGATCCATTAAGAGCCAGTATAACACGCTAAGCAAAATGAATATATCGGGCTCACATGCCAATATCATGAAAATGATGATTATTGTAGCTTGCTTCGTACAGTATCATTCATCTATAGTAATGCATCTTACGCATTCTACTATTAGAATTAAATTTTTATTCATCGATTACTTATTAATTTTAATAAAGAAGCTGATAATTCATTGAAGTAAAACTCCGCCACGCCGATTTTACGCCGGTCAAGTTCATTGACGACGCCGGCCGGGTGGAAAAATTGCCTGCGGTGGCGCGGCGCACATATTTAGTTACAAAGAATCCGCAGTAGACAGGGCAGTAATCTGTGCTTTATACATATGTATAATATGAATGGACATATTTTCACGGAAAATTTCCATAGTTCGAATCAAAATGTAATGCTTTGTTGTAATGTAAATAATTCGTTGAAGTCATAATTATAAGTTACGTCCAATAGTGTTGTAAGAGACGAGTTAAGTCTAAGAAACCTTTGGACTAATAGAAAGTTTGGTACACTTAATTCTTGTCATTACACCACCCCATTCGCGTGTAGAGCTTTGCTTAATACTTTCTAATGCGTACCGTAAACCAATGGAGCAATCCACCAGCTGTATCTTCCGAAACCTAGAATTTAAGGTTATTCAAGACTAGAGTGAATAAGCACTTACTAGTCAAACTTATAACATCGTCACTGTGACCTGGCTTTTGTCCATTTTACGTTTTAATAAAATACATTTAAGGTAATAAAATAACTGTATTTACATTCAATGATTTCACAAGAAGGGAATTTGCATAAAGTTGATAATATACTGGGATAAATTTATTTGGAAGGGTTATTTATTCGAACCCCAAATACCCATTCAAAAACTCTTTTTACCCATACCTTTTTCTGTATTCAAATAAAATCCTAGTAACATAATGTGTACCGCGTCGACGGGGTACGTTGATTAGGTATAAAAAAAAGCCCATTTGGGACAAGTCTTCTTTCATTTTATGTGTGATAATGTATGTATCTCTCTAAAATGCCCGTTTAAAATTTACGGTGTAAGGGAATTATGAATACACGTCCAAACACTCATAAACATATCTGAAGCGCCAAAGTTTTTCTACTTTATAGAAGTGTTAATATAATATTATTATGATTGTAACGCCACCGATGCTCCGAGACGCACTTATACAATATTAGCATAACAGTGTTAGTATAATATTTGAGCACCTAACGCTGGCATTGAAAATTGTGTCTACGCAATTTACCTGACATGACGTCTGTCTACTTATTTATTTTTAAGAACAAAATTTGACGATGTTTCATTTGGTCATACTGATAACAAACAACATTAAGATAATTCTAATGTTTTTATTTAAAAAAAACCGACCTCAAAAGTTTGTCGAATTACATCTATTTGCCAAGTTTTATTGAAATCGGTTACCGGAAAGTGCGCAAAACCGGATTCATCCCCTAGTTGGCCACCCTTAGAGGTGAAATACTTTCTTCAAATTTAAATGGGACCACTGCAAGGGTCGTCAGGTCAGGACTTGAGTATTGCAGTGAGCACTGAAAATCATACTCAAGTCCTTGCCATTAGGGTCTTATTTCCAGTGCTTGAAATCATACTCAAGTCTGCTGAAATCCTGACTTGAGCATTGAGTAAAGTTCTGGAATACGACCCTAAATTTCATGATTCTCTTTCCAACAAAAAAGAATCTTGAAAATCAGCTCACAAATGTAAGGAGTTACCGCGTAACATATATACAAAAAATACAGTCGAATTGAGAACCTCCTTTTTTATGAAGTCGGTTAAAAAAAGAAATTTGAAATAGCCTCTTTTTTGTTTGCAATATAACCTGATATATAGCTATAATATTGAAGTCACAATATGACAATTTAAAATACAATGTCAAGGGATAATACTGTGATCGTCACTTACATAAATAAAATTTGTTTATATAAAAACACATTAAAAAAACTATGTAATCCAAAAAGTTAATAAAGTCACCATCTGAACTATCATCAACTCGTCAAGGTCAGCTCAATTAGCCCAAACGCAATAGTTGTGCTGTAGATAGTCGAGGAGTTGGGTAGTTTGCAGACTATCCTGATTGGAGCATCAGATCAAGGTTACCGCATTAATGTCATCGAATTTCCACTGTATACCAAACCTCAAGTCTCGGTCTGTCAAGTGGAAGTATAATTGAAAAACTAAAGGCTTGAAATCTACTTCCATAAGAAACCACCACTGTTTATCGATTAATGGCACTACTCCTGTAAATCAGCTACCTGTTGCCAATATAGCAGTCAACTATAAATCGTCTTTTATTTAACGAGCTCGTTGTGATCCTCAACATCTTCTACTTGGGTCTGCCGGTTACTATGGTACCTCGCTAGCAGACAAAAGACCTGATGATCCTTGAACAGATCTTCATCAAATATAGCTAAGAATCATCCCGAATCCCGATTAAATTAAAAATAAGTAAGTCAAACAAACGAAGCTTCAAACTAATTCTTAGCTATTTTACGTCGGGGGTTACAAATAACACAAGAGCGCTGGTGGTCCAGTGGGATAATGGTTCATTCTCATTGAAAGGTCTGGGCATAGGCCTCTACCAATATGCGCCATTTTGCTCGGTCCTCAGCTTGTCGCATCCGTATGCTGCCAGCTGCGTTTTGCAGATCGTCATTCCATCTGGCCAGAAGGCGTCCTGTACTACGATCGCTTCTTCCTAATTTTCTAGTGCTGACAAACGTCAGGATCAGAAAACTATCGACTGCGCCCGCCCGTGCACCCCTCTCGTAATACTCAACAAAAACCAAAATTTACAATATGTTGACGTCACTTGACGGTCACATAGTTTCAAGATTTATTTAATTTAGAAATCTACCCATCACAACGAGCAGGAAAATCATTTTGGCAAACATGTGCCATCCTCGCCCACACGCTGTTTGTATTTCATAAGAATTTGTTTAAAAAAAATCGTTTTTATTGTTTTCAGTTTTGGCACCATGTTGTATTGAAATTATTTTCCTGTCGCCATCCCAATATAGGTACGTCCCGCTGGTGAACGCGAGACTCCTTATTAACGGTGAGAGTTCACACGGCTATGAACCATCGTCTACATTTTCCTTTACCATTGAAGCAAATGCTCTCCAACTGGGCTGCTTCCGTTCTTAATGGTTACAAATATTTGTAAAATTATACGTAATCAGTCAAAACCAAGAAACTAGCGATAGCTCAACTGGGGTATCTCATTGTTTTATCTTGAGCATTTTTTCATTATCACCGTATGGAAACCAGGTGAATGTTTCGAACTGCTTATCTGTACTTCCGTGTATTTTATTTTTAACATATTTTGAATGTTTTCTTTTGAAACACGTAACTAGCGTTATATCATTAGATTGCTTTCTTGTGAATCTCGAAATCGATAGTCGTGCATGTGATATCTTTTTTCTGTATTTTCGAACGACTGGGCGATTTAGACGCCGTTCAATAGACTGACATTTTCATGCAAAACACATCTTCCTTTCAAATACTTACGTGACTGGTTCTGTTTTAATCATTTAAATATGAGCTTCTTCAACCTCGTTAAGTTTCTTGTCTTTGAGTGAAATTATTTGATGTGTTCTTTCTTGGCAATCTTGCAATCAGCCATCGTACGTGTACTATCTTTTTCATGCTATCAAGTGTCGGGACGGGCAAATCGTGCTCCTGGTGGGAGTTACACGCATAACGGTTGCAGTGCCACTCGAGAGCTTTATATCGCAAAGGTCTGAGAGGCACCGCTGCTCGCGCCACCCAGAGACATAAAGTTGACAAGTCCCATGTGACTAGTTACGCCAGCACTACTGCTTGGCGGTAGAAATAGGTATCGCGGCATTACTTCCCTGGACAAAAGGAAAGGAAAAAACAAAAACAATTTCATCATTTCACTGCTAGAAAGAAGAACAAGTTTGGTTTTTACACCATTTCTTCATTGAAGTGTCGATTTATGCTGTTTCGAATGGTCAAACGTCCCATTTCTTAACAAGTTTGTTATGTTTGAAAGAAATCAAATAACCCAATCACATGACAAAAATCCCAGTTGACATTAATGAGATTAATGAGGGTTCGGTGTCTTATCTTATCACATCGTGGCTGAACAAAGTTATTCATAGAAACGCTACTTACTCGTTGCAGTTGCGGCCAGGAGACCAGCGATAAACGATAGCGTTTTTCTACCGCGTCTTTCGCTTGACGTTCGGATTGTAATGGCGCGTGTGTTTTGAAGGTCGTACATCCTCTTTAATACTTTTAGCGGAATTTAAAATAGCCAAAGCATATTTACTTAATCTTTAAGTAATATTATGTAGAATGGATAATAACATTCACTCTGAAAAGTCAGAATGATTAAAGGCAAAAAGTGTAAATAAAATAATTATGTCTTTCTTTACAATTATAAAACTAAATAAAAACAAAAAATATTAAAACTTTTCTTCTAAGTACACTACCGTAGTAAAATTATTGGTAGTTACATTTCTGAAATATAATGAAAAATTTCCTAGAAGGCACATTTGAGTTTATTTTTTGAGATAACGAAAACCCATCGTGTTCTGTGTCGCAATTTTCACTTGAATATGTCCACGACTGTCCAAACACATCCCGTTTCCTGGCTCCACAATAGAGCACACAGTACACTCACGATATATAAACGCGCAAATGTCCTTAAACGGTAAATTCAAAACAAATGTTTTATATTATTTTGACGCACACAAGTTGAAGATAATCTCCAATACTTTATTTATTTAATGAAATACTGCACCTATTTTGCTTATTAAAATATTTAGTATTTATAGTTATATGATAGCTTGAGTGAATGATTGTGAAACTGCACTTTGAACAGACGTGCCATTAATAAAGTGCAACGCTATCTACTTTAGTGATCAAATTTCCCGCATGTACCCGCAGCTAAATAGCTATGTTTACAAACAAATGAACGTAACTTGTTGTTTGTTGGAGGCGTATTCTCTGACTCGTTGTCACTCTTGCACATCAACAGCACATAAGACCACATTTTTGTTCGAAAATCGCCTGCAGTGCAACGAAACAAGATACGTCAATGTGTAGCTTGATGAGCGCCTGTACAAACATTCTGAGAGACAAAAAAACTGATTCTTTGTGTTTGGGCTCAAAACATCTGAGAACAATGATTACAGAAAATAATTTCATTAATTAAAATTGTTGCGATTGAGACAATCAAGAATTATAAGTGATTTCATTAAGATCTACTTGGTGCAAACAATTATTGAAGACCATTTTGGATCTCATTGTTCAGGTGTTAAGTTTTACTTTAAGTTTCTTGTGACATGAATGAGACTAAATAAATAATTCTTGTTAAAGACAAATCGTTTCTCTCAAGTTTTCCGGGTTAACGTATTTTCAGTTTAGCCATTCACATCTTGTTCTACCAGTATACAAAAGGTAGACATACGATTAGTGGAGAATGTACGCTTTTTTCGACTAAAATGTCGAATATGGTAGTTATTGCGGAGAGGGAGGGCTTATTAAATTGAGGACAACAACGACCTGCTAAAACTCATGTGTGAAGAAAATAATTAATTTACATGCGAAATTTTTATGTTTCTGTCGCATGTGTACTTATTTCTTTATTTAACTGTACCGCTCGTATAGCAATCTGCTTTATTGAGTCATTTATTTTAGTAGAACAGTGGAAGTAAGAAGTGGAATATCGATAATTGTTTAGGATATACGTGTTCCGGTTACGAATTATTTATTACATTACTTAAACCACGGAGACTATTTGAGAAAGTGAAAAAAGTGCAGTTACTTACATTCTTGTTTTAGTTTTATTCAATATTACTAGATCGAGATATTCGAGAGTACTCTTCACCGAGGAGCGTGTATGATAACATTGAAGCGTGTAACATTGTGCGTAAAGATATGTAAGTGCAAAGATCGTAGCTAACGGAAGTATACGTTTATGTTTTACATATAGAAGTGTGGTGAAAGAGGTATGTAGATTCAACGTGGAAAGCTAGAAAGGAAGAAGACGGCCTCGAAGGACGTTCGCAGATCAAACCGAGAATGTTTTTAAACAGGCTGGAGTGTGTATTGAGAAGAATAATAGTGCTTGTACGTAAGGGTGGTTCGAGCAAAGTGGCGATCGAGCCTTTGCCTACCCGAACATTTACATTTATGAAAATATAATTTATGTTAAAAGGAATAGTAATTTCTTTATGAAAAATAGTGACAGACATAACATTAATACGAGGAATAAAAATAAACTAGCTTTTCTTGATAGTCGTCTTCACAAAGTCAAACAATCATTTAAGGGGCAATGTATACGCTTCTATAACAAGATTCTGGTTGATATACAAAATTTGCCTTTCACGAGGTTTAAAACTATAGTGAAACAAAAACTTTATACTAAAGGTTATTATACAACTTCTGCGTACTTGGATGACAAAAATCCGTGGTAGTAACCCGTTTAGCTCATGGAGGTAGTCTCAATCTGATGTTTCAAATAAAAAAATATTGTAAATGTTATTTACAAAGAGCAACCCCTAGAGTTTCTTGCTCATTCTTCTCAGGGGAATCTGCCTTACGAATGAGCGGTAGAGTTTAACCATTGTGACGATTTCAAGTGTAATAATGCTTACCTATGAAATAAAGATTATTTTGAATTTGAATTTGAATTTGAACGGAAATCCAAAAAAGTGATACATATGTATATTCGAACAAAAGTGTATAGCTCGACGTGCTGTTGGCTGTACCTATGTATGGATATACATAATACTTTCTTATAATAAACGTAAATGGCCTATGTAGCTAACATTTCACAGCAACCAAGATACTCCATTAGATAAATGTATAAAATTAATCAAGTTTTTTTGAAGTTTCTCACTATACAGTTAAACTTATCGAAGTCAGTGGCACTGTGTCTGGCGTCAAAAACACATTTAAGTTGATAAATTTGTTAAAAAAATCTATATTAGAAAGGCTTCGGGAACCGCGGACCCAAAGCCTCTTCTTAGAGGTGACTTGTGCCCAGAAGTGGAACGTATGATGGGTTAATGTTGGGTATCGTGTCGAAACAGCGTTTGAATAGAAACGTTCAATTTGTCACAACTCATTTTCATGTTGATCGACCATGTGGCGTTTGATGGAAATTACATTAACGGCTGTTGAATATTTTACTACGTGCGTACTGTATAATTACGTACAGTTATAGGTGATAGATAAATAATCGTACCTAAGCCATATTTGATTCATGAATCCAGAATTAAAATGTCGTTGTCACTTGTCGTTTGTTTCTGATATTTTATTCTTTAGCGGATACAAGTGTCCGTTTGTCATCATCATCACCAGTAATTCTCTTCTAATTCACAATGCCGCGGAACGGAATGGAAGCCAATTTTTTTAACCATAGCCTATACTCCGTCCATCCAATTGTTTAACTTTTGACAATTGAATTCTAATCAGTTAGTGATAAACTAATGCGTTTCCGATTCAATTTTATTTATGAAGAAATTTTGTGTATGTGTATTATTGTGAATGTGCGCGGATTCAAAAAAGAAGCTATTGTCTGATTGGAATCGTGATGTTGCGCTTGAGAATTTGTGTACTCAAGAATTAATAAATAATGTTAATCACCACAGTTAATTCAAGTGATGATTCCCGTTCATATGGAGTAGAATCTATCTGACGATTCATTATAATATACAATTTATTATAGTTATAAATTATTTCATTTCGTTGTAATTGATTGGACAGCTATTTCAATTTTATCGCGCGGGTCGCGACTATCATGCGTAGTCATGCTACGGGGGCTGATGTTATTAGGCGATCTTAAAATTTTAAGATCTTGTTTTAATATTTTTTTATTGTTTTCTTTGTTGAAAGTTTTCTTTATCAGTCTATTCTATTTATTCTATCTGTCTTTTTTTGATACTAAGTACTTAATGTTTGTTACAGATCCGGAGCCACAAGATTCGTCCAAGGAAGCAATGCTCCCCGAGTGACCAGTTCTGTGGGTTTGTATCATTTTGTAAATTCTTCCTAGACTTGGGAGCACAAGAGACAACAGTACAGCCTAATACAGGCTTTTCTCAACTAAAGCAGCTCAAATGGTAGTACGAAGAAAATAGAAATAAATCAGGATAGACTTTAAAAAATGACGATGGTTCATTGGGAAAACTTGTGGCCTAAACCTTTAAAAGAGAGACCGCCACCACCACAGCAATATTATGGTTGCTAATGAGATCTCTCCATAGTTTAATTATACAACTGGTGGAGGTATTTCGTCAATACTCCCAAATGCATTTCCGTTTGCTCATTTACAAGCTACACAAGATACGCAAACTGTCACGTTTTAATATACTGCAGGTACAATTTTCAATAAAGAATCTTTACATGTGGCCCACTATACACATCCTTCCTCTACTAACTGTCATAAGTAGAATTAGGCGTTTTTTTTGCCGCAACTTATTTTCAGCCTGGTCATTAGATGCATTCAGTCTGACTTACCTATATTCATAACTTTTCAACTACCTTAATTGACTTTTTGGAGCACACTGTTGTGTACCGGATTTTTCTTTAATTTTATTTATAAAATAAACACGCGCTTGGCTACGATTTCCACCGATGCCAAGCAACGGTCTGACCGAGCTGTTACGCGTTTGTCTAGTAAAGGCCTATACAATCTAGCCTTGAATAGTCCTAGATTGTTTTTTTGATTGTCTTTCGAGAATCACAGATTATGCCGTATTATTCCATGCTTTTATCGTACGCTTTATTATAATAATGTTAGATGCTCCAGTTAGAGAAGAGAGGCACGAGAAGCAGCATGTTTGTTAAGCAACATGTGTTCAATGTTAGTAGGTAAAAGTGTAAACCTGTGTGTGATTTTTTAAAATTATTTAAAGGGAAAAACAAGAAATATGTGAACAGAGTAAAGTCACGGAACAGTCGAGACGACATGATGACGGACGACAGGACTGAGTCCCTGCCGTACGGCGCGGACGGCGAGAGGGGGGTGCCCACTTTGGTACGTATTAAAAGTATGTCGTATGGTAGTCAGGCTTTAAAATTACCTATACCGTATATTGGTCGAGTGACATTCTTTTTTTTAATAATATCAAGTAACGGGCCGAACAAGTCGTGCGCCTGATGGTAAGCCTGTCCATAACAGTTGCAGTACCACCCAGAGCTTTAAATCGCAAAGATCTGAGGGGCACTGCCCACTGCGCCCCATCGCCCTAAGACATAACTTGACAAGTCCCATGTGCATGTAATTTGACCAGCACCCTTACCCTTCAAAACCGGAACACAGTAATGCTGACATTACTGCTTGGCGGCAGAAATAGGTAAGGTGGCAGTACTTCCAGATACAGCCGTGCTAGCCTAGTAGAAGAACGATTGCTTTTCAATTGAGAGATGGACAGCTAGAATCCCTGTGGCGGCATGTATCTTTGACTCTTAGGGTCGTATTCCAGAACTCTACTGAATGCTTAAGTCAGGACTTGAGTATGATTTAAAGCACTGAATATCATACTCAACTCCTTGCCATTAAGGTCGTATTTCCAGTGCGTGAAATCAGACTCAAGTCTGCTCAAGTCCTGACTTCAGCATTGAGTAGAGTTCTGGAATACGACCCTTAATTTCCAAATTATGTGTATGAATATTTGGTAGCATTCTCTCTCGTTAACGATGACGTCATATGAGCCATTGTGTACGTTTTTCATTTTGCCATCAATTAACGGAATTGAGTGTTTAATACTCTTAAATGGAATCTATATGAATTTTTAATAAGTCACCTTTGAGTTGTCAACTGGCATGTCATCCAGGTGGAGTCCTGCAGCCGTTTCATGTCTCTGACGTCACGGCTCAAATGCCGCGAGGTGCCGCCGCGCTCGCCCTCGCCCGAACCGGTGGTGGAGCGCCGCTGGCAGCCCGGCAGCGACGCTCCTCCGGCCACCAGGGTCACCTTCCACAAGATCTTCAGCACGCTCATCAACATGGGCAATATTGAGAAGGGATGCCGGCGAACTGTAAGTATTGGTCCTTACGATGGCGTTCGATATACCTAGCGTATTGTAGCCTAGCTTTATATATCGACGTCACAGCGCGTCTGGTCAACTTTGGGTGGAATCGCTCCGCGTTTTGAGTGTAGAGCTCGAGTTGATAGAAATTGGCCGTGAAAACATCATAGCCGACCATTCAAACCGCCTGCCTCCGCAGCCACATAACCACAGCTCTGCTCAACATTTGAACACCCCTAACCACAACACCACATCTACTGACACTAGACCATTGCGGCCTTGAAAACACCCATTTACTGGTAATGTACCACATTAACCAATATATCCTCAACCGCACACGCTTCGCAGCGCCATACGCCTTAGACATGTCTTTTAGACTGGTCACATAGTGAGCCTCCAATTCCTATACTAGTAAGTTTTTTAGCACGAAGTAAGCTAGATGAGTAGGTGTGAACGTCATGTCTATGGACTTTCAGATCAGTCGCGAAGAGCAAGTGTGGCAGAACGAACTGAAGGACCTGATTTGGCTGGAGCTGCAAGCGAAGCTGGCGGGGCGCACCCTCGCGCAGCAGGACGCCTTCCTCTGCGTGCAGCGCAAGATTGTGCCCACCATCGTGCAGAACATACGCAACTACCGGTACGTATATTAATTCCACTGCAGTGTCACTGCTGTACATAACGTAGTCGAATTAAAGTTCTGAAACCATGCAGTGCAGCACTAACTGCGTGCTGAAAAATCCTTTAGTGCCACAGAAATATGTCTAGGTAGAACGGCAATGTTGCATATTTTTAAAGGTCTCGAGCGTGTTATCTTTTTGCCACACTCCGCCCACTAAGTGACCTGAATATATCGGTATATTCGATAGTAACATTACATTTTAATAGGTACGTAGTTTAAGTATATACACACACAAATACCAAACAATAGACTTTACAGGCTGATAAAACTAATTTATTCACAATAAAACTAATTTCACTTGATAGTACTTATTTTACTACCATTACGATTCATGACAACTGAAAAACTTATAAATATTTTTATTTTTTTCAAAACAATTGTCTTCAAGATTTAGTCGATAAACATCTGTACGTCACTACTATACACGTGCCATTCCGCGACTTTAGACAAGGGTAGATGTCAAACTTAATTTGGTATAGGCTGCTCGCTACGTTAGAGTGTTGAGCGCAGAGTGCACTTTGTCTAGTACGCAATGAAATTTGAGTTTTTTTATTATAATATCAAATGACGGGACGAACAAGTCGTGAGCCTAATGGTAAGCTACACGCCTGTCCATAACAGTTGCAGTGTTACTCAGAGCTTTAAATTGCAAAGATCTGAGGTCCACTGCCACTGTTGCCGTCACCTTGAGACATAAGTTGACATGTCCCATGTGCCTGTAATTTCACTAGCAAATAAAATAGTTTAGGTATATTGTGATTGTAATGAAAGTTTCTTAGTTATCTTATGCTTTTTCGTGTTTACTTTATTAAAACAGGATTTAAGTTTTTAAAAATGACTTCACCGTTTGTGGAGATATCTTCTTCAGACGGCACTTTCATTTGGGCAATTAGAAACAGCACAATTTGGCATTTTGCATGGAATTTTTTTCAAGTACACTGTAGCAAGAATCGGCACGTATTGAGGGAGCGTTCGGGGAATCTTTGACATGTCAAGACTCATCACATAACATCGCCGTTCTATCTAGATTTATTTATGTGTATATTATATATTATATTTTATAAATACCACTACGTAGCCATGTAAATAGACAGCTACGTAACTACCACAATGACAGCCGCACAAGCAAAGTTTCTGGGGTATAGCTACTCTTTTCTACAGACACCAATATTATCAAATCAGAAACAGAACCTTCAAAAATAATACGTTAAAGTTTTACATTTAGTCTCTGCATATTTCTGTGATGTTTCTGTTATCAAGTTATTATTATTTTTTAATTGATACGTACGAATTAAAAAGGTATAATTTACCATCTTGGTGTACTGAGTGAGTCATTGAATTCGAATGCAATGAATCCTTTAAGACAACACTATATTTATTTCATCAAAAACTAGGAATCCATTAAACGTCAATTTACTTTTTTTAATAAAACACAGACTGTATGACCTTAATATATATAGATATAGCACTGGAGATATGTAGATATATTAATAGAGACTCGGAGTTTCGTACAATTTTGGTACAACGTAATTTTAACCTTATGCCTGTGGCAGGTTTGTGAACCCGAACCCTTGCCGTGCGCGGACCCGTCGTTTGTGCGTCAACGGGTCCAGAGAAGACCTGGACGCGGACAATGACGAAACAACGGGAGAGAAACAAGAGACTGAAGACGACGATGGTACGTTAAGTGTATATTTTAAGTGATACATTCGATTTTTAATTATCAAACACACACTTATATAACCTATATAACTTACCAATTAGGAAGTTTGTCAGAAAACTAATCGAAAACGAATGTAACTTGAAATAACGGTTATAAGAAAACCTAACGCGTGCGTGTATTTTTTTATGATACCAAGTATCGGAACGAACAAGCTTGTCCATAACAGTTGCAGTGCCACTCAGAGCTCTAAATAAATCACAAAGATCTTA